TATATGCGAAGGACATCGGTACATCGAAACGATAGAAATATATATATTTTTTATCTCCTTTTTGCCAGTTGGATTTTATTCGCTAGATTATGCTCGGGCTGGGAAAAATTATGGGATTGCGCAATAATTAGGGAGATGTTGAGTGTTTGTAATGAGATTTGATTATTCGAAAGTACGGAATGATGACATTACCGGAGTTATCCATGAATATAGGATAAATTATTGGTGAATCATTGGTTGTTTATGCTATCGTGTCGTACTCTAATTTATTGTAACTCTCAACTAATTCGAAAAGGCCACGTTTTACACATCGATAATGCATATGACATTTCGTTGTCGCGATTTATTGCATATCGCTCGATATTAGTTTCATTATGTTCACAGCCGGTAATTACGCAATAATGGATAGAGGCTATAAATCAACTCTGACATTAATGCACGGGAGATTGTCGATTTATTTACAGAGTACATTAATTACGGAGCGTTGGACAATTGAAATGTCATAAGAGCCGACGTGGAAACAACTTCTGAATAATTGATTGAGTGAATGTCGTATGATTTTTTCTTCATTCATTCCGACTTATTTTTTCACTATCCCTCCAAAATTATTTACTTGATAAATTAAGAATGCCAAATAATGATATTAGATAATGAAATCAAATGGAAAAATAAAACTCTGGAATATTTGAATATTCAATAAAAGTCATTAGAACGGATTTAAAAAAATATAATTTTTCCTGAGTAATTAACTTTCAAATGGAGAATAATTATTTTTGTCATAACTACCGACTGAATATGCGTTGTCATGACAATTAACACTCGACAGAAAATTTTAAGAGTTATTAGAAAAAAAAACAATCCTGGGCTATCTCTCCTCAAAGCCGTTACAACCAACCAATCAGCATAAATGAACGAGTAATGCACGCCGACAATCTCCTCTCTAATAACTCAATAGTTCAATCCGCATTAGCATTGTTTAACGGTAAATAAATGAATCGTCGAGTGGCATTCGTAGCAGGGGGACATTTATACTGACCCAACAAGTCTCAAGTACCCCGCAACTAATGACAACCTCAAATTATATAATAATAAGCCGATAATAATTGCATTCAATCCGTGGAATAAACTCGAGTGGAAGTTGTGGAATAAATTAAGGAGCAACTTCCCTCTTTGTGCATTGCCCTCCCCTCATCATTTTCGTTGTCCAGTCAACTAAAAACGTTTATACAGTCTGTGATATCTCGGGGTCAACCATATGCTTATTTATTTATTTTTTATTCCCGGGTATAACCTATGCCGTAATTTTAAGTCATTTAAATATATTCAAATCATTTTTTTACGGCTTTTACTTATTCTCTCTCACTCCCTCTCTCTCTCTTGGTCGAGAATTCAATTATTACCATTGTTTCGAAATGAGTTTTAGGATATTATAGAATCGTCGAATCATGGATCAATGGGTGAACCGAGAGATCGCGAAACGGAAAAAATTAATCCCTTTAAAAAAAAAGCACGTTACGTTTGTTGTCAGCTTTTTTCGGCGCATAGTTAAGCCCTGCATATCAAAAAATATGTATGTATTTTTTTTAATTAAAATTTTTAAAACGATATGAATAAAAAATTTTTTTTTTAATTAAAAATTTGAAAAACCCAATTAAAATGATAATCAAGTGATTTTTACGTTGAATTGCTGTTTTTTAAAGTGATAATTAAAAATTTGAAAAACCCAATTAAAATGATAATCAAGTGATTTTTACGTTGAATTGCTGTTTTTTAAAATGAGATTAATTGTGCAAATTTCGCAAACGTTAATTGCAAGTAATCTCGGCAAAAACACGTGTCCCTGGGTTATCGGCTTGAGCTAAAATATGACGGGACGAATTAATAATTTTCTCGTAAAGCCAGACAGTGACGAAAGGGCTGATCCCACAGGGAAGATACAAATAAAAGCTTGCGTGTTGTTCACCACCAATCGAATATAAACTTCTCATATCCACATTAGCCACAAGGGGCTCCCGTGCATTTCTATCGTACCCCAAGATCTCGCAATTAGCTTTATCGTTTTTTCGTTATTTATTTATTTATTTTTTCTCTCGTGTTTCTCCCCTCCCCTGACAAACGATTGCGAGATAGAAACGAAAAAACACGCGTATGAGTGGACTTATGCAATCAAGTGTTCGCGTTTTAAATCATACCATCAATAGCATATTCCGTATATAAACCACCGAGAATTGAATCCCATGAATCCTTAAACGGATATAAAATCACCGACTGTTTCTTCTACCCTGAATATCGTATTCCCCTGGTTTGTAACGATACGCTGAGATTATTTTTGCGTTTTAAAAAATGTATACGATCAATCCATTATTAATAGCCGTGTTGAATAGACGTCGAGATTTATGATTCCGTTGAGAGTATCAATATACGGACCAGTAGCTATTTCCAAGTATTATATGTTGATTCACGGTATGGATATGAATATTTTAACGGCTATCCGGGATTTATTGGAATATTAAATATGGATTTTTCATTGGAAATTATCTGCATGCAACAGCCGCTATTTCTCAATCGTTGATTCATTCGCATTATGCGAATCAGGAAAAATTTTCGCATTCGTCAATCATCGGTATCTCTACATCTGCAGAATGAATTTCAATGTTTTTTTTTTTTTTTTCATTTCGCGGAGTTGTCTACAAACTTTGAAATTTGAAATACGGAATGTGTTTTACTGAAGTCGCTACATTTTTTGAGATTACTGTTTTAATTTTAAATTTTGGATTCTTTAGCAAATTGGGAAAAATGGACGGTTGTGTTCTCTCGGCGAAAAAACAAAAGAGCAATTATTCTTGACCGGTAATTATTTCCTCGTACGTGCCGCATAATTTAGCCATTTGGACACCGTAGCTATGCGGAGACACGGTTATCGTGATACCGGAGGTGAAAGTAATAAACATAAGTCTTGCCTTAGCCGATCATAAATATTCGATATTAACGTTTGATACGTGCCTCGGTGAAATTAGCATAACAGTCGTAGTCGACGCTACTATGCGATATCGAAAAACTCGAGGGAATAATAAAAATGTTGAAAAAAAAAACTAATCGTATACATTTCATCAGTACATTACCGTCACCAGAATTTCAAAATTTTTGAATTTTTACGGGAATTGATGACAGCCACAAGCTATTATCATCTTCAAAGATAGAAGTACTTAATTATTTTTTTTTCCGATTATGGCACCTCAAAAAATCGTTCATTGGAATCGAAATATGTTTTAATTCAAATGAATAACTTCTCTGGGCAAATAAATTGATTAATTTTTTTTGGTGTTCTCGCAAAAAGTCTAGTTCTCATTAATTACCTCTGAGGATTCATTCATAATAAACTACGAGACCCGAAATAAATAAAAAGCCCCTCCATTGGTTTTTCTCTCTTTCTATCGTGTGAAGAAATGTTGAGAGAACGTGAAGAAGGCGTTTCAGAAAAATGCAGCAAAGCACAAGCGACACTAACATTGGGCCCAGGTTAATGAACGTCACAAAAGCCTAGAAGCGCGAGAAAGATGCACGCAAACGGATGCCCCGAGCGGCTGGTGGATAAAAAATGGTTGAAAAATCGAGGGGAAGGGGAAAAAAATAAAAAGAAATTCAACTCGCTGGAATATAACCGGAAAAAACGAGTATAGGTGGAAAGAAGTTGGATGGTTAAGGTTAGGTTATATTGCTGAATTGAGGAAGGCGGTATTACAAAGCGCCCCGTAAATCCGTGCGCGGGTTCGACACCCGACATTCCCTACGTTTTATTTCTCCTTCCCATTCGCATTTGGGACAGCCAAAAACCTCAAGTCGCGAAACCCCGGGTTTTTCTCCTATCCTTCCAATTTCTTTTTTTTTCTCATTTTTTACAATTTTTTTAGTCTGATTATTCGTTTTTTGCCAATTCACTCTGCGATTTTTTTTTACCCCGAACTATAGGAGCAACCGGAATTCAAAGTGAAAATTCATCGATCAATTCATTTTCGGAATAATTATCAATTAGAAATTAATGAATTATTCATTTGATATAGTTGAATGTTTAATTTTGTAGAGGGGAAAATTAAGGGATAATCCCATAGAAGAATTTTGTAAATATAAGAGCCTTTTCAAATTTATGGTTTTTCTCGTATCCTATAAAATCAAGAATAACGCTCACTCCGCGAATTTCTCTGGCTCTCCAATCATCACGATAGACACCTATTATAAGCATCACCCTAAAACCCCCTGACTATTCCGTAGCAATTGAATTATGCGCTTGGAGTCCAAGTATCTGCAGCACTTGCTTTATTGTCACAAACTCGTGGGCATTGCGCCAAGTGCACATATTCCACACGATCCGCTCTAAACTTGCGCTCATACCACGACAACTCCCTGCCCCTACCCAAATATTTACCCCAAGTGCACAGAAAAATGCATTCGCCTGTCTGTAATTTTTTTTAAGCCACCGATTTGCCGAATGAAAATACCTAATCACCGAGGAATCCTCACGTCCCCGGAATTTCCCTTTGGTTTTTCAATTCGAATGGCAAGAGGGCAATGTCTGAGTATCTCACGTGTCTATTCTATTATTTCTCATCATTTTTTTTATCCCCGAATGGCATAAATATAGCGAGCACGCGAGAGTAAAATAGAAAGTGCTAGGGACAAGAGATTTTTTTAAATAACGCGATTTAAATATGGACCTATCTCGAAAGCAATAGATTTTACGGAAAAATATTAAAGAACCTTTTTTGTCGGGCATTTAAAAATCTAGAGAAAAGCTTTCTGACGTTTTTACCGCAATTCGATGTATAATCGGAATTATAAACTCGAACGAAATTTATATATTCTCGGATTTGGTGGAGATGTTTGGGCGTAACGGCATGGATTTCGTCGTTATAAACATATACAAATTCGTCAGTGAATGGGAGAAACAATGGGCCGTTTAGTTGGTAGAGAGATATATATCATTGAAAGGTGAATTTACTCACCGAACGTTGTATACCTGCTGAAGCGGGATATCTTTGATGTGGGTGGAACTCTCTCGTGCGATTTTCATCGTTATCTGAAAATTGAAAGAAAAAAAAATTCAATTAATCAATCCCTCGAATTTTCCATCATTTCGGAGACTTAATTTGTCGATTCATCGGATATAATGAAAGGGGGAAATCGAGAAAGGAGCAATTTATTAAGATCCCGTCGTCCGTATCGAGATATTGATCAAAGTGAAATCAAGAAAGATCTTGCGACGATAACTATGCAAAATATTGCATCGAATTCACGATAAGCCATTGTCCATCTGGCAGAGCAGGGCATTAAATATACACCCAAATATAAAAGATAAATGTGTCGTTACGATTTTCAAGTAAGAGAAAGTCAAATATAACAATTCAATTAAGAAATATAGAGAACACGTTATATTTCAAGAAATCTCCCCGACATCTTCAATTATTTCATTTAAAGAGCATCAATTCCCCAATCCATCCCCGAAATATCAATAAATTCAATGCAAAGACAGATTATAAAACTCCCCTAACCATCAATATGTCATTCCCCCACCGAAAACCTCAAACATTGCAGCGGTCCATTGCATACCCGCGCGAATATCATCTCGAAAAGCCGAGAGACGAGAAGAATGCCCCCGAGAATCCGTGCACTGGGTGTAAGGCCTATGGCAGAATAGAGAAGGGGGTTAAGAGGGGGGCTCGGGGAGTTTTAGAAAGGGGGGGAAAAAAGGGGGAACACCCGTTCGCAGGTGCCGGTGCTGCCGATAAATATGTCAACGTGCAACACCAAGAGGCGCGTCGGCTTCTCTCCAAACACCCCGATTCCAACCCCCTTGCCCCTCTCCCTCTTTCACCACCCCCTCCTCACCAAGGGATATCGCTTCCTTTTCTATCGCCGCAAAATCGTGGAGATTCGCGCATTTTATCCATTTGAATATTATGGAAATTCGTGGACGTATCACGCCTCGAGTGGATCGGCAAAAATCTCACGGACTTCTGTGCGTTCCGCTCTTGCAAAAAATAAGGGACAAATAATATAATGGAGAATATAGAGAGGAGTGGAGAATTGAAAATGGATTGTTAGTCCATTTGTTTTATTTGAGAATAAAATGTTGAAATTGTTTGAGAATTCAATTTTTTTGTAACCCCCCAGAATCCCTCATTCGATATATATTTTAAAAAATATATAATGATCGATAAATGATTATATTCTCTAGATATATTGATTGGTGTTCGTTAGTTGATGATTTTCCCACTTTTTGGGGATGTTTGTGAAGTCGATGAAGAACTTCAGCTATTGAAATTAATTTTTCAAATTGAAATACACATTGCGAAATAGTTGAGACGCTAATCGACTGAAAATTGCGCAAAGTTAATTTTCCCATAATATTCCACATAAATCCGACATTCACCGGTACTCCACAACTGATGCATTAGATATCCCGCAGAATGACGCAATTCGATGCTTCATTTATACATAGAGACAGTACAACTCATTGTCGTCGGCCTCTGGATTCGAATAATCCCCAGCGTTACCGTAAATACCGTAATCCCCGCCATAATCTCGGCATTCTCAGTAATCAATACAAGAGATGCATCAAAAATCAAGAGAGAGAAAAGCAAAGCAATAGCAAAAAATAAATAAATAAAAATTAAAATCATAAAGCCCCAGAAATTTTCATTCCCCTCCCCGTGTCGAATGCAAACATCATTTGATTTATGTTGAAGTTGTTTCAAGTTTTGTACCAAAGTTGAATATTTACCCGTGACAAAGACACTTAGAGGGCTTTCTGAGTCGAATGCAACTCCAAGTGTATAAATAAAGCAGTCCCAGAGTTGCTTTGGCTGTCTCCCTCACTCTGTACTCTCTGAATCGCTCTCGTCCCTTCCGGTCCTACTGACCACCGTCCATACCCCCCTCTTTTGCCCCCTTCCCCCTTCACCCCTCTTTTCACCCTCCTCAACCTCATCCTCCCTTGTATTCTCAACACAGCTCTATTCTCAACGGCACCAGTATTGTCCTCTCTGCGCCGATACAGAGCTTTGGTCAGTTAAACATGCGCATATTGCATGAAACTGGTGGAGTCCTGGAGATCGAGCTCTGTATTAACACCTCTGTGTTGTCGTGTTTGCCTCTACTCGTACAATATATCCATCTCACTTCCACTGTCCACTGTCCAGAGCACATAGAACAATCTTGCATCGCAATCGATCTGAGTCGAAAATTTTTTCCCAATGCATTCGCTAGATTATTATTTTTTAACTCGGTGCTATCGTATGCGGTGGAGGCATTGTATATTTTATTATAGTTGGCAAAAAATAAAGGCCAAGCCTGTATTTCGCTTTACTAGGGCTGTTGAAAAGGCAATTACCTATCGGAATATTATGGCCCTCTCATACAGTACAACGGGCTCATCCTGCTCCGGGGCAAAGTTGTACACATGCCACGGTGTGGTAGCTACGTGGTGGGTATGTGTGTTTATAAATGAAAACACACTAATACTGAGGCATGAGTCGGTACCAATTGGAGTCAACATGCCACATCATTACGCTCCGCTAATTAATTGTGATTTATTGCAGTCAAAATGTTTAACAGGGGGTTGCAAATGGCCGAAACTATTATTTACTATTTTTCAATGGGAAGATTATTTGATATTTTGCGGGGACTTATGTTGAGTCGCGTTGTTAATGAATATTTATCGACGATGAAAGATAATTGCCATCTATTTTCGAGAGACTTGGGTATTGTGAATATTTGTAAGGGAGAATATTGAATGAATTTTCCATTAAAAAAATTCAATGGACATTTGAAAGAACTTTGAAGTGCATATCGTCCGCTGGCGACAAATCGGGGCTTAAGATCCCCAAACCGTCGAGAATCCACAGAGTGACAATATTTTGAACACTCCTGCCAAGCGTGAGTAAATGGTTTAAGAGGTGCCTGTTCGTTATTTTTCCCCAAAAGCTTTCTCTTCCCGGGGTGGTGAGGACACTGCCGTGAATAAAGGAACAAAATGGGTAAAAAAAGAATAACGGGAATGAGACATTCGGATGGTTGACGTTGTTGGCCTACCGAGATCGGCAAGTTGACAACTTGTTGCACGAAAATTCATGGCTCAACGAATTTCACTAACTTTTTCCCCCAAAATCTATCACTAATATTTTCGCATTAAACACACGCAGCTGCTCCCATCACCGACTATTCTATTCATATCCGCAAAGAATATCTTATTAAAAATCGTACTGGGGTCTCCATTCACCACATGACGTTAAACAGAACATTTTTTTCTCGTTAACATGTTTTTTTTTTCCATTGAAAGCATGAATTGTTGAATTCATAAAATAAATATATAAAAAATGTCCAGAATATCTTCAACTCGATCACGAATGCCAAAAAATTAAAAGTATAAAAATCAATAGTCCCTGAAATCCCGTGATCAATGCTATAAAATCCGACAAATAGCACGAAAAAATTCTCCCTCATAAACAAGAATTTTTTCTAAAAATATTCTTAATAGCCACTAAATACAGAATATGGCAATGTTTAATGGTCAAGATGGGATAAGACATATCTCATCTTTTTACACGTCTCATGTTCGTGGTATGGCATTTATACCGAGCGAGATGCCAAGTCTGGATAAAAGATCTATCTATGTAAGGAAAACGAGATGTTACATGGACAACACTCGACTTGCCACCTGGAGGACAAACTGCCCACCCCTCCCTCTTAACCCCCCCCGACCCCCTTGCCCACTCTTCTGACATGCCAACTAAACTATTAAATAGTTGCATTTACGGAAAATGCAAGAAGCAGTTTTACCCGTGAACGCACGTGCTCGCATATCGTGATGTTGCTCCAGGTCAGGAAGAAAATCATTTAAAACGCGTGCACCAACTCAACACACACACCTGATCAACATTCCCTAAATGGTTGTTACGCTTTGAGAAGTGTATCCAAACAGCTTGAAAAATTGCGCCTTTTTTTATTATTTTTTTTTGGGACGAAGGTTTTAAACATGCAATGGCTTATGACAGGTCGTCTGTTTCATTGGAAAATCGAGAGACACGGGAATGCGAGGCGTGTTATGGGTTCGAAGCAGATGTTGATGAAGAAAATTAATTTGAGAGGGTGAAGGACGTTTTTTATTACGTCTGCGGATCAAATTTGGGGGTTTACTCCTTTGGAGAAAATGTGACAATTATTTTTTCGGATTTTTACGGAAGATCGGAGGGTCAACTTTAATGAGTGGCTTTTAATTAGTGGATCGTTTTTAATTTTGATGAAGGTCGAATTTCACTCGGAAAATTAATTTCACCTTCAAATAGGTATTTTCAATGCTTATGAGAATGAGAAAGAAAAATTATGTGGCGGTGGAATTAAAGATTAAGCTCAAATTTGATTCCAAGTTTATAATGAATTTGAATTTTCGTTGAGAAAAAATAGCCAATTGAGAATGAAAATCGAGCGAAAAATCAATGACAGACGAGACCAGGTATATGCATACCATACCGCACAAGGTCTTTTTATAAATTCAATCTTTATCGTTATGCGCTGTTGTTTGGAGCTCTTTATGCCCCGGACATGGTACCCCATTAACGTTTGATTTACAACTTTCTACAAATCTATAAAGGAAACAACCACACCACCTCCATAATTTTTTTTCTCCATTTGTTTTTCAAATCCCTCTCTCTTCTCCCCGGTTTTTCTCAGATATGGTCAGCTTCCAGACGCCTCAGCTCTCATCCTCCTCTCAATATACATTTTTCTCTCATTTTTTCTTTGTGTTTTATTTTTGTTTTGGGAGAGAATCGCTCGAAACAGAACAGTCTCTTTCCCAGGTTTCGGTTAACTTTGCCTCTCTTTGTCTCACGCGCCTGTCATTTGGGGCGAAATATCGAGTGAGAGGGATGGCAGAGCCATTTTTTGAGGATGAGATCGGGAGGGCTGATAAAATTATACGCTAGCTCCGAGGATCGTAAACGAATCGCTTTTGGTATTTTTTCGGTTTTGGTGAAGGGGGAAACTGTTAAAATTAAAATTTTCGACCGTGGAGAGATG